AAAAATGTTTTATTGATTTTTTACAGAGAGGAAGGGAGAGGGATAGAGAGTTAGAAACATCGATGAGAGAGAAACATCGATCAGCTGCCTCCTGCACATCTCCAACTGGGGATGTGCCTGCAACCAAGGCACATGCCCTTGACCAGAATCGAACCTGGGACCCTTCAGTCCGCAGGCTCTATCCAGTAAGCCAAACCGGTCAGGGCTATCACAACCCTTTAGTCCCCTTGTACAGATATATACCTGCTGTGTTTAGTGTCTGGCTTTTCCTTAACAAAACATACATCTGAAAGCAGGGGCCATGTCTGTGTCATTTGTGACAGATTGCCTGAGCCTGGGTCAGTGCCTGCAGAGAGGAGGTACTCAGGAAGTTAAGGAATCTGTGCACTCATACTGTCAGTCAATAGAGGCTTTCTGAGCATCCAGTCTGCTTGTCTCTATCAACAGGGAGGAAACTGAGTACCTTGCACAGTCTGGTGGGGGCAGGTGGACCTGAGAACCAATAAATTTAAAAAAAATGGCTTGACTTCCTTTTGTGGGCCGGGCTCTGGGAACAACCTGAAACGAACTCAGCATATATCTGCCAACAGCCCTGCTGGCCAAATCTGTGTCTGAACAGAAATAAACCCAAATGGGCAGAGTGGTGAGGAGTGCAGTGATGTGATTTCATCACAGCACAGTCCTCCCAAGAGATTTATAAAGAGACGGCTCTAGGTGAGGACTGAAGAACCAAAGAGAAAGAGGTAGCCTTAAGAAGGGACAGGTCTGGCCAGCATGGCTCAGTGGTTGAGCGTTGACCTATGAAACAGGAGGTCATGGTTCAATTCCTGGTCAGGGCATATGCCTGGTTTGTGGGCTTGATCCCCAATGTGAGGTATGCAAGAGACAGCCAATCAGATTCTCTCTCATCATTGATGTTTCTGTCTCGCTCTCCCCTACTCTCTGAAAACAATAAAAATCACACACACACACACACACACACACACACACACACACACACATATGTATGTAATAGTATATATATATAGTACTAGGGACAGAACACTGGACAGGCACAAATGCTTTAAAAATAAACAAATCTGGACCGGTCTCAGTCCTGCACTGAAGCCACCAAAGGACTGAGCGCAGGACACGCACATCCTGGTGCAGGCACCGCTCCCTGTGCATGTGTCAGATGCTGACTCATTTGCATGTCTGTTTCTCTTCTTGCAGATCTGGAAACTGAACACGATAGCATCTCCCTCCTAGGGATGTTGATTTCCTATAACGGGAGGGCTGTACATAGCACAGTAGGTATGAAACATGCTTTGACGCCATTGGATGAGGGTTGCCTCCTATCTCTTACCAGCTATGTGACTTTGGTTAAGTTACATATGTTCTCTCAAGCTCAGACTTCTCAAAAAGGGATAATAATACCATCTTCATGGAAACACAGAGCAGATTAAATAACATAATGGATGTACAGTTCTTAGCATAAAGCCTAGCTCATAGTAAGCACTCAATAAATGGTTAAAAACATATACACACAGTTATATTTTGTATTTGATCTGAGACCCCAAATAAGATTGATGATGAAAGAGCTTGGAATAATGTAAAATATTCTATTATCTTATAATTTGCTATAAAAATAAATGCATGTTATTGTTAGTATTTGCCCTTTGAAATTCCAACCATGTTTTAAGTCTCTTAGTCTTTGAGGATTTCCAAAGGGTTTGATGTTACTTGATCACAGGCTGTGGTATATTTAATTACTGGTCCCAATCTCCTACAGTAGTATTAAACCCACACCTTCAACATGGCTTTCTGAGAGACAAGGTACTGCTTCCCATGCCTGGACTTTGACTTTTTGCTTTTGTGTTGGCTGGAACAATGGAAAAGGGCTTGCCCTCTTATGGGTGGCCATGAGAACAGCTTCCTGGAGCTTCAGGTCTCAGAATGATAAGAGACATATGGCCTGAACTCAGCCACAGATTAAGTCAAGCCCTGTCAAGCCTGGACCAGTCAACCAACACACATGTGAGCAAGAAATAAACATTTACTTTGTATGCCTCTAACTTTGGTGTGTGTTTTTTAATGGACCATTATTGTGGCCATAGCTGAATGGTATAGATAGATAGATAGATAGATAGATAGATAGATAGATAGATAGATATATATATATATATATAGATAGATATATAGATATATAGATATCAGAGAGGAAGGGAGAGGGAAAGAGAGATAGAAATGAGAGAGAATCATTGATCAGCTGGGTCCTGCACGCCCCATACTGGGAATCAAGCCCACAACCTGGGCATGTGCCCTGACCAGGAATCGAACTGTGACCTCCTGGTTCATGGGTCAACGCTCAACCACTGAGCCATGGCGGCCAGGCATTAGAAAACAAGTTGCTAAGGCTTTGCTATTGGGAAGCCCAGAGTGTGGTGTAGTTCTGTGGAAGCCCAGAGAGGTGAGGGAAAGGCTTCCAGAGGAGTAATGTTTGCCAAACAGAAGACGGTGGGAGGAACAGCACTCCAGGGAGAGGGTTCAGCAAGTGCAAAGGCTCAAAGGTAACAGAGGCCCAAGCAGAATTTCTAGGTGGCTAAGAAGGAAGTTGAGAGGGCCAGGGTAAGAAATGGGCCTGGAGAAGAAGCACTGGATCTGCAGTCCTGAGGCTGATGCCCTGAGTCCCTCACAGAGCTCTCCTTTCTTTGTGAAGGAAGCCAGGTTTGCAATCACACTCAGATCTGAATCCTAGCCCCTCCTTGCTGCCTGGGAATGCCGTTCCCACAGCTGTGAGGATGAGTGAGCAGCCATTGCCTATGTGATGGGCTGGGACTCAGGAAAAGCTCTGGTTGCTCCCACCCCCA